AAAAATGCCACTTTAGGTGTAAAAAATAAAGTTAATTATTAAAATAAAATTAATTAAAATGAATAATATAATTTTCGCTGTTTATTGTCTAATAAGGCTTTTAAATAAAATTTGGGCTATATCTCAGATGTGTTTGAATTTATGATACTTTTCTTAAATATTTTGAAAGTTTTCATATAATATACGCTGGATATATTTTCTAATGTGGTTTTATATTTTCAAATGTCTCCAAAAACTTAAATAAAATTTTAGTATATTTCCATGGGCCGGTGGGTGTATATACCGGACGTGATGCGGGCACACTGCCTGCGGTATATTATAACGGTATGTTATTGGTCACTCTTCCAATACTGCCAAATTTTCGTCTGAACTTTGTTTTTTGTTAAATATAAAATAAATTGAAATGGCAAGCGATGATGAGGGAATTGGGGATATAGACTCACGCCTGGAGGATGTGAGCCTGGAGGATATAGGCGCCCGGCACCGCCGCGAGCGCAAGGAGCTGCAGGCAAAACTGCAGGCCATGAAGAAGAATGCCCCGAAAAACAATAAAAACAAAAGGAAAGAGTTCCTGGAGGAGATGGCTCGCTTAGAAGGAGAACTGGAGCAGCGCCACAAGAAGGAAATGCAGGCGGCCGAAGCCAAGGATTTGCCAGAGGAAACGGAAGTCAAGGCGCCTGCGGAAAAGCCGGAAGTTCCAGTGCCAGATAAAGAGGAGCACGAGGAAAAGGAGGAGGATGAGGAGGAGCAGCTGCCCTCCAGTCAGCGTGTGTCCAAGGCCCAGAAACGGCGGGATAAGAAAGCCAAGGAAGCCCGTGAACGGGAGGCTGAGATCAAAACGGAGCTCCAAAATGCTGCCAATCAGCCAACACCCAAATTAATCGAGCTGCAGCAGATCACAGCAAAGCTGTCCCAACGTCAACTATCCCTCCACAATATAGCCTCCGACGGCGATTGTTTGTATCAGTCCATCCGGCACCAACTCCTCGTAAATGCGCTTCCAGGTAACACCTGATTAGTCCCCGCATAAAGCACAAAACCTCATCCCAAGTCATTATCTTTCAGGTCACAGTGTTCAGGAATTGCGGGAGGAGACCGCCAACTATGTGCGTGCCCACAAGGACTCCCTCATTTGCTACATGGTTCATCCGGAAACGGGGGAGCTCCTTAACGACCAGCAGTTCGAAAAGTACTGCCAGGATATAGCTAAAACACACGCCTGGGGAGGCCACATCGAACTAAAGGCCATATCTTCGCTCCTTCGGGTGCCTATCGAAGTAATCCAAGCGGAGGGAGCACCCACGCTCCTGGGACAGGAGGAATTCGGTGGATCGCCGTTGGTCATCTGCTACCACCGTCACATTTACCAACTTGGCGCCCACTACAACTCCACAGTGCCAGTAGCCTGAAGAGGGAACCCAATGACACCCGAAACTCACTCGATTTTGTAACAGTTTTTTCGTTATTACACATTGTGTTGACTTTATAAATACGTATGCATTTGGAAGATTTGAATTATTGTCAAAAATTGCAAGTATGTAGTAATTATATACAATAATAGTCAATATAATAACAATTCTAGGTTAGCTAGCAACTTAGTTAGCTGGATTTGTTCTAAGAAAATATTTCTTATATAGAAAAATAATTCGTCTAGCTCAAATTTTTGTTTTTTGTGGCGGTTTAGTGTAAATTCAAGCAATAATTTGATTATTCCTCGAGCCTAACTACGTATTACTTGGTAATTTTGTTGCAACAACCCATTATTTGTCCATTTTTCTAGGTAAAGCGATCGATTTCAATTATTTGTCCTTCTTGCTGTCCTTCGGCTTCTTTGCAGCTGGCTTGTTCGGATAAATAGCGAACATGGAGAGTTGAATGCCGCCCAAGACCAGCAGCAGAAGATTCTGGAGCTGAAATTGAAGATTAATCGGTTACTGATTATCTTGTCGATCATTAAGAAAACATTACAAACATGGTATTGTTTTTAACAACTTACCACCATCACAGTATTTTTGATGGAAATAGCGTATAACATCCAGGAAGCGGCCACTAGATTACCAGCGAAGATAATTGGGAATGGCATGCCCTCGGTGCTTTTCTTCTCAATGATTTTCGGCAGATGCAGGAGTGGAGAACCGACCAACCAAACCAAGATTCCGGTGATCAGCATTCCCAGGCGGAACTCGATCTTGGCGGGGTCCTCAAAGTTGGCATATGCTGTGACGACCAATAGGAACACCGAGGCGTAGCCGACCTGCTTCCAGATCTTGCTCCTGTTTCCGCTCGAGGCATAGTAGTAAAATCCGAAGAGGAAGACGAAGTTGATAACCAGACCAATTAAATTTGTATTGATCATGGCAGCATCGTTCATAATGTTTGCCAGCTTTAAGCTGAGAACGGTCCTGGAATAGGGAAAGGTATATATATATTAATCAATATCATCAATGTTGATTGCATTAAAATTCAAGGATCCAAAAAGATATAATGCAAGTATGTTACTAGCGGTCATACATTTTGGTATTAGTCCTGGCAAGGCTCCCTTAAAAAGAGGAACTTAAAGAAAAACCTTTAAATGCATTTTGCCATTGAACAAATCAGAAAACTATGTCAAATTCCTATTCATTTGTAAAATAGAACGCATTTTCATTAGGATCGTATAATTTATTCAAATTCTCTAGACAACGAACCAGTTCTTCGTCCAACAAAGATCAAATTAAAAGAAATGGAACAAGTTTTCATAACATCTATATTATTTTTTTCACTATATAATGAATGTGTTACTTTACCGGGTCATTGGGAAAACCCGTTTTTTTTATTAATTACGTTATCAGTTATAAGTCTACTATGATATACATAAATAGATAAAAGTAATAGTGATTTTCAAAACTTGGCACACGTAGCTGTTGATAAGGAGTTAAACTCGCATGAAAAATAATCAGCGCCGATCAACTTATCATAAACCCACTACAATGGTGAAATACATTCGTGTAGTTTGAAATTAAACACAAACTGGCCGCTAAATTGCCCTTGACCTACACCTTGTATGAAATAGAATTCGTTTAGCATTCAACTGTTGCTTCCCTTGCATGTCTGCGGGTCCTTACACTTGACACAGTCCAAGTTAACACCTTCCGGAAACCACCCCCTGAAAACCCATCAGTGATGGCAGAGGTACCCTTTTATTCAGCCTGTCAGGAAATGAAAAGGGTACTTTATTATTTCCTATATTATTTTATATTTCTAGCTTTCTAAGTAAACGTATCTAGAAGTAAATAGCTAAATGAGTGTCATTAAAAATAAAAACCATAGGTGTTGATCTTATGAGATGTAATTCATCTTTGGGTAATACAAAGAAAGGACAAACAACGAAAAAATATTATTAATGAGTAGTGGAAAATTATCATTACCAATATAATAAAAAGCAAGTAGGAATTTCCATTAATATTATTGATAAGGTATGCCTTAATTTATATGTATACCTGAAAAAAGAATCTATATACAAATTTCTCTTCTACATGTTAGACCGCCTCTTGACTGTCAATTTTAATATTTTAAGCCTGTCATTAAAGATAGTAATAGGCAGCTAAAATAGAATAATAGCTGAGAAGATTATAAGGCACAACTACTCAGATTTCCCATCGTTGGAATCTGACACCCCCTTTATTCCTAGCACGTGGAGAAGGCAAGTCGCCTATCTTTCGTCTGTCATATAAACTTAGCGGCTCTCCCACGTTTGGACAGATATACTATGCAACACTACACCAGATCAGCATTCTTAATACGAAGCTTTAAAATTATACACTCCAGATAAGAGCTACGTGTTTGTTGAGGCCTCCCGTCGATAAGAAGCCAAAGATTACCGTGACGACAAGGTTAATGAAATCCTTACTATTTCAAATTGTAACGGCCAAAGATGATCGAAGTGGGTTTCCTTCTGACCATCGAGTGATGTAACCGATTCCATTGCAATGCTATCTTATTGAATCGAGTGCAAAACCGATTTTTTAGCGGCCTTGAAAAGACCGATTCTGTAGTGTCATGGCGACAGTTCAAAAATTTAATCAATTCCCACACAGATGCGCTGACTTTTGGTTTTTTTTTCCTGTTTTGTTTGATGTTGTATGCAGCGGAGCATCACGGAATCCCACTTAATGCGACACCTCCCGAGTAAATTGGGAACTTACAGCACCACTCCGCCGAGAAATGGACCCACGGGGTAGACGTCGCTGCTACCCTTCTTCCGGATGTCGTTCATCAGCGCTACTCCGGACAGGAATTGCAGGGTAGTGATTGTGCCGGCTACCTTGGCGATTAGTTCGCTATGAGGCGCCAATATATCTCCCAGTGCTTCCATGGTTTCTACAGGTCGTAAGTGCCTTTCAAACGAGTTCTGTGGGGACGGGAGGGGCCAGTGCCGCGAGAGTATAAACAAATGAACAACGAAAACAAAAACTAACGACCGACTGGCGGCTGCCGTAACAGCAAACGAACAAATACTGAGCTCCAACGGTGGGGCTGGCAACCTTTTATAATCGAAAATCGCCTAGAAATGGAGACTTGGAAACGATATTCCCCATCGTTATCGCTTGGCGGGGCTTATCGGATCCGAATGGTATTTCGAACTAGTATGGAAACTTACAGCAGGCCAAACATTTTTATCTCTTTGCTGGGTCAATTTGCCTGTCAGCACACAAAACATATTTTAATCATTTTCTAAGGGGTTATCTCTTCTAAACGTAGATAAATACATTTAATTAGTATTTTACTAACAAAACAAATATGTCACCAATATTCATTGAACATTTTAACACTCCTACTCTTAACGTATCTTAAAATGCAGAAAAGTATCAAAAACATTTAATTACCAAAAGGTTTTTGCGGCTAATAAATGTTTTAATTCTTCTGTAGTAGTTCCTTCCCAAGGTTTTATATTTTTCATGCTACATCTCAAAAGATATCTTATCCGAAAATGATGCTTATAAAATGCATAGTCGACAAAATTTCGCCTTACAAAAATCAATTTTATTCAAACTTATCCAACTACAGTCGTAAACAATCGTCCCTAGACCTCCTCCTTCAGCACATGCTTCTTTTTTTCGCTGACGAAAGGCACCTTGCCCTTCTTGGAGTGCTTGCGCACATTGGCCTCCTTGACCTGTTCCTTCTCCTTGACCGTGCGCATCTTTTTCTGTGCATTGAGCACGTGACGCGGAACCTGGCGATGGCGAGCAATTCGCTTGATCTGCGGATGAGCGGCATACTTTTGCTTCAGTGCCTCCTGGTAATTGAAGTTGACCCGCTCACGCGGACGAATGACGCCCAGTTTTTCGGATGCATTTGCCTTCCACATGCGCACGTTCATCTCATCGGAGCCGGAGAAGACGTATCGATTATCCAGGGACCAGGCCACACACACCACATGCTGCATACGTTTGGTGTGGTAAATGTCCCGCGAGTGGCTATGGTGGGCATTGTAGAGCCGGATAGTCTTGTCATAGCTTCCTGAGATGAACTCCTTGCCCGTGGGCGAGTAGTCCACGTCAGTGACGGCAGAAACGTGGTCAAAGTGCACCTTCAGGGGCGTTTGCAGCTTGCGGGTGTCAAAAGTGTAGAGGCTGAAAATGATTTTAAGAAACGAATTTTATTAGACTAACAATGAAAAAATGTTTTAACTATTTACTAAACGTGATTTGGAATGTTAGACTAAATAAATTTAAAAACAGGTACTTCCTTTTACATTAATATTATATACCTATTAGTGCTTAACCCAGATCCGACATTTTAAGTGTTTCAGGTCCTAAATTTAAACTTAATGTTACTTTTGCCCTTTTTACTTACTTGCAATCCTCGTTGGCCACTGTGAAGTTAAAGGCCTCCATGGGATTCCAGGCCAGTTTGTTGCTCTTCATGGTAAGGACGACCTTTCTCAATGGCTGCGCCTCTCTTTGATCATACAGGATAATGCTGCGATCACTGGCACAACAGGCCAGGATGCTCGTTTCCACGGGATTGTAGGATATGGTGTGCAGGGTATCGACGCCCCACTTCAGGGTCTTCAGGGGATCGTTGTGTTTCTCGTCCCAAATGGCGCACACCTCTCCGCAGGTGGCGAACTTGTTCTCCTTGCGATTGTGCGAGATGCCGTGGAGGCCAAATTTACTCAGTATGGTATTCACAGGCACCTCATCCTCGCCCACTTCAGGGGCCTCTGCCTTCCACACCTTGATGGTTTTATCATCGCCCACGGTGAAGATGCGACGTCCATCCTGAGTGTAAGTTATGCCCCTGACGAAGCCGTCGTGGGCTACGAAGTTCCGGGAACTAGCACGATTTGCCAAGTCCCAAATGCGCACTTCGCCATCGTAGGCGCCGGTGGCCAAACAGGAAAGTTGCTTGGGGTGCTTCCCAAAGCAAGAGACTCCATCGCGATGTCCGCTTAGGTTGCAGACAAAGGGCTTGGCAAACACTCGGTCCAATTTGGTGGCATTCAGGGCACGCACATATTCCCTAGGACCCTCCAAAGGATGCAGCGCAGGATCATAGTTCCGGGGCACTGAAAATGGAGTACCAGTTAAACCCGCATCTTCTTGCTTATCTCCACTTACTTTTGTGCTGCTGCAGCTTGGTTTCCCGCACATAATTGTCCGGATTGCGACTGATCATTTTCACCTTCATCCTGATAGCATTTATTGGACTTTTCTGCGGCGTAAATGAAAATGTTTCCGTAAAATTGAAACATAAACAACATGTGCGAGTGGCAGAGTTGCCAGACAGAGCCGTCAGCTGATAAGTACAGGTTTTCCATGTGGTCACACTGTTCGAAAACCTTTGGGGCAGCGCTGAAATTCAAATTTTTAGAGGCAACAAAATACGCTTAAAACATGGTTATTAAGTAAAGTAAAAGTAAAAGTAACAATTTATCATTTATGCACATAATACATACAATAAAATAGGGCCTCACAGCATCTTACAATTTTAATGAAAACGTTTTGTGAATTACAGATTCTAGCCTTAAGTGCATCTTTATCAAAGAACGACTTATATTTATATACAAATCTGTCGTAAAATAAAAAAAGAGTTATATGAGACTACTGATAATAACTAACTGTTATTATTGCAGCCATAACTCGAACCTCCATTAGCCAAGTGGGAACTTCGAGTTACATATAAACGACAACTTATCTTACCTTTTTCTTCAGCGACTTGACGCTTTTAGGTTGGAGGGACTTGTGCTCCATGTGCATCTCCATGGTTAAAATCGAATTCACATTTTTTCCACTTTTAGCGGGAAGACAGCAGTAATCAATGACGTTCCGAATCGGCTATCCTAAGCTTGGCCACTTGCACCTGGATGGTGGCCTGGGCGAAGTGGATCTGTCGCTCGGCCAGAACCCCAGCTGTCATGTTACGATGACGGTAGTGATAGCTCCTCCGGTGATGAGACTCGTACGTGTCCCCAAGAAATCAGTGATCGAGAGGGCTCCAGTACGTACTAACACCAGATGTCACCCGATGACATCAGATGTCAGTACGTACGGGAGACCTCACCATCAGTGATTTCTTGGGAAACGGGACGAGTCTCATTACTGTCGTCATCGTAACCTGGCAGCTGGGGTTCTTGCTCCCTTCCTCAGAGGTGCTTTCAATATCATCAGGGGAAACTGACAGCTGGGTTCCTGGTAGAGCGACAGATCCTCCCCGTCCATATTCACTTCGCCCAGCAAGACAGCTGATAGATTGGGTGATGCACTCCCTGCAGCGTTGTTGACTGCGAAGACTTCCTTTTGGAGGGACTTGACTAGGAGGACTCTTCTGGGGATCTCGCCCATGGAGCTATGGGCCTTGGACTCGTGCCCATATCGGTCTTGAGCGGTGCCGCGAATCCGATGTTCTGCAAGGTTATTTCCCCGACGATTTGCACCATAAAGCGCTCGCTCCCGAGGACTCGACAATGCACCAGTACTCAAGTTTTCTTCTCTTTAATTATTGCGTCTTGAAGAAAATTATTTGCTAAGAAGGTCGTTTGTCAAATGATAAAAACCAAACGTCTAATTTTAACTGACAATACCGATATCAAATAATTACCCTTATCGATAGTGTTAAAAAAGGGTTTGGACCATAATAATTTTAGAAAATTTCCATAATCTTTGTCATTTTAGCTAAAATATTTTTATTCTTAAAATACATACATAAATAACAAGAGGGAACGATATAGTCTCAGCTAACGGAACTGCGAGGGAAATAGTTATAAGCAAAGCGACTGTGTCCAAGATTACGTATTTTATTTCTTTATATATTTTTAATGAATGGTCCGTTTGAATACTTTAGAATCAAATCATAGAGTCGAATCATTGGGTCAAATTATAGACTCGAATCAAGTATTTTCAGAACCTATACCAATTACATATGTACTACATTTGTTCACGACTTTAAAAAAAACAGTGTTTTTGTAACTTAGTCAATCTGAACACTGCACAATTTCTTTATTTATTTTCTGATCGATTATTCACCTCAATACTGATAGCAACCGAAAACGGCTGCAATGCAAATAAAACTACCGCCATCGTAGGTATAGGTCACATAATCATCGGAAAGTTCGTCCCAAATGGCACGAGCTCCGTAGAAACAACCCGCTCCAGTCTGCTGATAGAGCATTACGTTTACCACGTGCTTGAATCTCGGACAGGATCCACGACCCTTCATCTTAAGGTTTATTTCGTCGGCGACATCGCGGGTCCACTTTAGGGCTTCCGATTGTACGTAGTTCTTGTTTCCCAGCTTCTCCTTGACCACTTGGGACATCATAAAGCGAATGTACGGCAATGGGAACTTCTTGCCGAAGGCAGGTCCCATATTATAAGAGTTATAGATGGTGACATCTGCCGCCGGTTTCACTTCGTTGCCGGGCTCGAGTTCGTCCTCGGACTCACTATGGGATAGTCCATCGGATCGGCTATCTGCGCTGACCGCGGATATTCGACGAGGGTCTTTACCCGTTGACAAGCTTCTTGGCCTTTGTGTAGACATTTTACCGATATTTATGTCTCAGTACTTCACTTCAACTCAAGACATACATACGTTAGTGATACAGAGCTGTACCCAAATATAGAATTGGACAGGAAACTTGTGGCCATCTGGTTTTTGAAAAAAGGAATTCGATTTTTTTTTGCTTTACGAACAATTCTGTAGTAACTATTAGCTCCCTTCCTTGATTTATTTCAATATGATGCGCGTTCTTTAATCTGGAAATCATTCATAAAACCCAAATTACCCGAAAAAGTGCTTGATTCAATAGCAATATTTAATACACCGGACAAAACAAGTTTGTCCCAAGCCTAGTTATAATATATTCCGAGAAATCGATTTTTCTTGGTAGGCATAAACATTCTTAAATTGGTCACTAAAAGTACTTAATTTCAGAAGAAATCGTTTCAATATCCAAAAATAAGGAATGAATTATTCTTAAATAAGGAATGAATTATTCTTATCAGTAGAAAAAATGTATCGTAAATAAAAACACATTTTTATTTCCAAATGCTTATACATTTATCAGATACTTAGTGTAAGATTATACAAAATAAGTATTGTCAACTAAACAAGCCCAATCGGCTCAATTTTTTTCTAAGTGTACAACTTGATCTTATTATATCCGTTATTCGTAGAGTAAAAGGGTATACTAGATTCGTTGGAAAGTATGTAGCAGGTAGAGGGAAGCGTTTCCGACCCCATAAAGAATATATATGTATTTGTGACCGTCTGTCCGCCTTTCCTTATAAACGCTGTGATCTCGGAAACTATAAAACCAGCAACACTGGGATTAGACATGCATATTCTAGACATTTCTGCGCAGCGAAAATTATTTTCAGTGTGCCACGCCCACTCTAACGCCGACAAACCGCCCAAAACGGTGGCTCCTACAGTTTTAATGCTAGAATTTTAGCTGTAATGTATTGTTCTCACCACTTTAAAGCCCACAAACTTACAAAAATCGTAGGTATGAACGGAATCTACCAAAGATAGGGAATTGGGATTTCAGATTTAGACTCCGTAGCCTTGTAAACAGCCCAAGTTTGTAACGCGAATATGCTACGCTAATCTAATGCCCAGATCCTTTAAGACTACTTCCTCCCATATCATTTTTAGACTCAAAAAAAAAGACAGTATTGGTTAGTTTTTATATTTATGGAAACATATTTTTGGTTTTTTTTACACTTTTCATTAGCTAAATGAAGCAATTTTCCACGGGATAAAGGATTTCACAATCAACCTAACGTTAAGGAGTAACTAAAAGTGAAGGTTCAACGAGTTGAATGCCTGTGAGGATGTCTACTTAAGGAATCTTGAACGTAGGTGCCACTACTGGAAGTGGAGGGATCCAATACTCTTGGGGTGACTATATCAATGATCTGGTCATCTTCCTCCTTTTCCTTCTGCATCTGTTGTTGCTGAATCTGGTGAACTTTTCGTAGGCAGCAGCAATTCCTCAGGGCATCCATAAAACAGTCCAGATTCCTGTTAAAGTTTTGCAGGTTTTCTGGGGAAATGGGCGGGCTCTCCTGTTGACAACACTCGTCGATGGCCGCTTGGGCGTGGAAGATGCACTCACTGGCATGATTGAGTGTATTCTTCAGGTTGAAGATTTGCTGCTTTTTCTTCATCTGCATTTGGATATATCGAGCGCACAGCATCTCAAAACGGCGCTGTTCGCCCCGATATTCATCGAATAGCTGATCATATTTCGAGTGCAACTGCTCTGTTTCGCATTTCAAAACCTTGAGAGCCTTATCCTTCTTTGCCAACTGACGGCGACTCTGGCGATGGGAAACCGAGAGCTCATCGTAGCTGCAGGATACGTCAGGATTATATAAAAACAAGGAAGAACGCTATAGTCGAGTACCTCGACTATCAGATACCCGTTACTCAGCTAAATGGAGATATGCAAGCAGCAAAGCGAGATTAAAATGCGCCACCTACCGGCGGTATACGGATTTAAGCGTTATGGGCGTTAGAGTGGGCGTGGCAAATTTTTTTTGGACCAATCGATAGGTATCGACGAGACCAATACATTTCAGTTAAAATTTTTTATCTAGCATGAAAATTGTGGGCGTCACAGGTTTTCGCGGTTTGTGGGCGTTAAAGTGGGCGTGGCAAACTTTTTTTTGGGTCAATCGATAGGTATTGATGAGAACAATACATTTCAGTTAAAATTTTTTGTAGGAGCCACAGTTTTGGGCGGTTTGTGGGCGTTAGAGTGGGCGTGGCACTGTGCTGAAACAAACTTGCGCTGCGTAAGAAGCTCAGGAACCTGCACGCCAAATCTCAATAGCCTAGCTCCCATAGTTTCCGAGATCTCAGCGTTCATCCGGACAGACGGACAGACGGACAGACGGACAGACGGACATGGCTAGATCGACTCGGCTAGTGATCCTGATCAAGAATATATATACTTTGTGGGGTCGGAAACGCTTCCTTCTGCCTGTTACATACTTTCCGACGAATCTAGTATACCCTTTTACTCTACGAGTAACGGGTATAAATACTTTTGTTTTAAATCGAAAAGATGAAATTGTTGACAGAGGTTGACGCATATTATCATCATACACATTTGCATCGAAAAATTCGACACAAGATTGGTTTCTACGTTATAAAGAAAAACAATTTTGTATAGATTTTCTTTTTTATATATTTAATTAAACATATGGACTTTATGCGATATGCAAAATTATTTATTTAAAATATATGTTTAAAAATTTTCTTATGATGTTTGAAAATGGGAAGTCGATCTTTAACTTGGAATACATTATATTCCGTATATATTTTATTATTATTATATGCCTCTTGTTGAAATAAGATAATTAATTTAATGCTTTTGGACAAGAAAAATACTTTTAAACTGGCTAAGTACCAACAGTTTTGCAAATTGAGTAAGAGAAAACCGGACCAGGCCTGTTTTAATTACTACCCCCGAAACTCACCGTTGTTGCATAAGCAGGGGACTGATGGAATCGCATAATTCTCTGTACTTCACATGGGATCCACTATGTAGCTTCTCCTCCGGATCGCTTTCGCCGGAACTGGACGTATCGATTCCCCGGAGCAGCTGTACCAATCGTCCATTTCGTTTCTTCTCCGAATCCAGGGAAAACACCAGTTCCTGAACCCGTTCCGTCTGCCGATCAAGGGCCATTCGTAGCTTGAACTCCTGCTGCTGATCCTCGTGGATTGTGTGCTCCAGTTCGTTCACCAGTCGCAGGATCTGCTGGATGGTCTGTTGGTAGGGATTTTGATTTTTACTTAGGTTTGCAGCAGTCGATGCCAAATGATTCTCGTCGGGAGTGATGTCCTCTTCGTCCTCCGAGGGAATCAAGAGACTGGAAACAGGATCCAGAGCGGAGTTCTTGGAAGAGGAGCTCGAAGTGGAACTGGAGCGCAAGATGGGATTGTCATAGGAAGGAGACAGTGGAGGATCCGATACCTTTTTCTTTGTGGCGACCCCAAAGCCTAGACCGTTGCTCACACTCCTCAGGATGGAACTCAGGTTCATCCTTGGTCCTTTCCCACCTAGTGTCGCTGTCTTCGTTGTCGTCTTTGTCTTGTCACCTGGCTCTGAAAACATTCAGGTGTATGCAGCGCTGTGTGCTTGGGTTGTTTGTCAGTAACTGACTGCCTACTTGTCACTACACTAAAAAAGGCAAAAAAAAAAATTTGATGTTAAAATAATAATATAATAATTATTTATTTATTTATTCTCAGGTTAAAAGGCAATTGCAAATTACCTTTAACCTATGTTTCCTTTTTGCAGCTATAGCTACTGTGCCCTTACGCTTCGTTTATTATATATTTATTTACATTTTTACATTTTGATTATGGAAGGTTTTAGACGAGATGATATGTTTTTATTGCCTTAAGGAAATTCAAGTAAGCTAGGATATTTAAGGTGTTAAAAGTAAGGAGTTCAGTTGGGTTTTATAACTAAAATTACATATTATAATACCATTACGTTTTATAAAACAATTTTTTGTATAATTATTTTCTATTATCAAATTAATTTTATGACTATACTGTATTTGTAGAACGTTTTCCCTTGTATTCCTAAATAGTGTGTGCGATTTTTTTAAGTACACACACGGCTATCCAAAAGTTGCTTCCCCCCAGGCTCACTTTCCATATGGTTTCGCACAACTTTTTAAATTGGTTTCAGTTTTAACACCTTTGCCTTCAGTTTCCCCGGCACTCAATCAAAGTTGTCGTTCCTCCGCCTCCGATTTCGTTCCCTCGCATATGGTTTGAAGGCTTTCCCGACTTTCCCCAACACTCTTCCCAGGTTTCCTCTGGTGTTTGTTAGTCGTGCGTAAATTGCCATTAGCCAAAAAGGGTTTCCAAGACTTGATACACTTATTGCATTTTTATGGGCTAAAGTTTTGTTGTTTTTCCCCGGCTTTTCTATTTTATGCTGACACAGAGAGTTGCATGTATCCTTTATTAAGCTAGGACTGAAGAGTTTGTATTTTAAATTTGATTGTGGTAATTTCGCAAGTGGTAGCGATGGTTTCGGTTTTGTTTCGTTTCTTGATCCGGTGTAAAACGAAAATAATTTCTTGTAGAAAAATGGAAATGAAAATGGTCAAGAAGCTGTGATTTAATTTTTGTATTCCTAAGAATAAGAATAAGAATATTAAAAAAAGTATACATTTTAAACCGGTATTTTTGATATTGACCACGAAAAAAAAGAAGCCAGACAGTTTAGGTGTTCGAATTACTAAGATGCCTTTTATGCGATGACAAGATTCGTACCAGTGTGGGTTCCAATGAAGTAAAATACTTTTCCAATTTTAACAAAAGGAACTGTTAAAATGTTTATGTTATTTGGTATTTAATGGTGTTAATTGAAAAATTCTTAAATTCTCTGCCTTTAAATGGACTTGACTATGGTATGTTTGCTCTTCTTTCTATTTTGACAAGATACTTTTTACTTTTTGAGCAAGGGGTATAAAAATACAAAACATTGGTATTATTGTTATGTGCTTAAAGGAATGGTTTTTTGGGTATTAGTTTTTATTCAAGAAAACATAATTGTCTTAATTTTTTAAAAATGCCTAATTTCCCTAATTAAAAATAATTAAAGTAAGTTATTAAAATTATTTTACTTTATTAAGCATTTACATATGATTGTTTCTATTATTTAATTGGGTTTTAAAAGATTGAGTCGACTATTGACTTGTTCTTAGTTATCTTTGTTAAAAGAAGGTCTTATCTGTAGGGTCTGATAAGCGCTCTAGAGATATCGTTTATAAGATAGTTGCATTTTAAAGCTTTTATTAAACAACAATAGCAGTAAATCCACAGATTTTCTCACCGCCTTTGCCTGCAAACCAGAAACGTAAACATTTGTATTTTCTCTTTGGCTAGCCACTTTCTCTTTTTATCTCTGCCTGGCTCTCTGTTGCTCACTGATTGTCTTTTGTAACAGCTGAGCCATAGTTAGGAATTTTTTCCTCAGTAAAGCTCCGTCACCGTTGGCGGCTGGCCGCTTCCAAAACATTTTTATAAATAAGTTTTTATAATAAAAAGAATTAATCGAATTTAAGTAAATCAAGAAAAATAATGGCTCGATTAGTTTCTGGAGTCCGTTCTTTATTCCGTCGATATCCAATCGTGACCAATAGCGCCATCTATGGGAGTCTGTATGTGGGCGCCGAATATTCCCAGCAATTCGTATCCAAACGCTGGCTGGCCGTAAGTTTTTCTAAATAGTAAAGGAGATGGAATATATCCGAGGGGTATGTCTGGCGATTTCTAATGAGATTTATGTGCCTTGTAGCCTGCGGCCGAGCGCGAGGATATCGATTATGCAACAATAGGAAGATATGCTGTGATGGGCACCGCAGTATATGCCCCAACACTTTACTTTTGGTGCGTGCCCTCCACATAAATACATCAGTACATACCTATGTACATATTTACTTTTATTTGTATATAAAAACAGATGTGGCCAAAGTAATAGGTCTGAATTCGATTTTGATTATTTGATTTACTCTTTGTTTTTTTTTCTAATTTTACATCTTCCAAAAATTAAAAAAAAAGCTTGAAACCTTCTAAACAAAAATAATATTATTATCTATTACAATTCATTTTCAAATAATATCTTCACAGATTAAACAAAAACTCATTCGGAGCTAATTTCTTGACCACAGCTGTGTATGCACACTCACATATTGGTGGACCAGTCAATTTACTCACACTTACATGCTCACCATTTAACCATTCTTTTTATTTCCTCAATTTGCTTCGCCGTACGCTTCTGTTGTTGTTTTTGACTTTTATCAATTTGTTTACGATTCAGTAAAAGCTCCTCGAGCACGTGTCGCAAAGTCAAGAGCATGTCTCCTCGCCACTCACTTTCTCTTCACACTTTCTCTTTAGAAGCACCCACTGCCACCAGAGCACAAAGCTTTTCCTCTTCATCTAAGAAAGAGGGAAAAGCTGTCGAGAAAAGCACGCTACGCACTGAGAAATTGAGGCATATGTGCACGACCATAATAAGTAAAATGCAATGTAAGTTATGAATGATGAAGTATGAAGGATATTAGATGAAAAGGATCACGATCCCAAACACAAAAACACTCAAAAGAAAACAGGAGGAACACAAGGATAATTAAACACAAAAACACCGAAAAACACACACGGATATACAAATCACCAGGAAAACAATATGTATTTCACACTTAAGCACTTAAACACATTTAAACATACAACATAGTTTTAAACACTAATACATTATAGATTTCTAACAAAGTACTCTAAATATTTTACACATTCTTGATCATCCTGCCTGCTTCTGCTTTTTTTTTAAACTCAAAGATGAATAAGCAAATGTTGTACAATAATCTATGAAATTAATTTCTAAGGTACAAATGGCTAGATCGCGTTTTTCCCGGCACTACAAAAATCGTAATAGTTAAAAAATTGGTACTGGATCAGTTTGTTCTAACGCCTTATCTACTGAGTGTGTTTTATGCAGGTAAGTTTATAAATCTTTTTTATGAGATACTATTATTTAATGTTTTTTTTTAATATATTAAATGTATTTAAGGAAACATTAAGTAATTAAAGGTAAAGATAACTTGTCTTTCTAGGCATGTCCTTGATGGAGGGCTCTGAGGATACTTTCCTGGAACTGCGCGAGAAGTTCGTGCCGACTTTTATGCGTTCCTGTATTTTCTGGTTGCCCGCCCAGGTTTTGAACTTTTCCCTGGTGGCGCCCCGATTCCGTGTAATCTATATGGGTGTTTGCGGTCTGATTTGGGTGAATATTCTCTGCTGGACCAAGAGGCAGAGTCTTCCAGTGCAGCTTCCATAAGGAATTCCGAAACATGAGATTTGAACATACCGAATACTATCGCGTATATACTATATACTTGTTATATAGTCTTAGATAGATTTTGACAAATAAAGGCAGTATGAAAAGTACAACTAGACGGTTGTTTTAGAGTTGTGTATTTATTTAACCTGGTTCCGAGGCGTTGGTATACAGTGCGTATGATTGATGTCCTCATAAACGGAAACTCATCAATTACTACTTTCCCTCTATTCATCTCTATTTGAGTGTGTGTGTGTCTGCTGTTTATCAGCGTGTGTAAACGTGTTTAATTGTGTGCGTGTGTGCGTAAATGTTTCCATCAATATTTGCTGTACACAAACAACAACAATGAAAACCATCTTAGATTCAGATATCCTAGTTCGACAAAATGGCAACTACTATGGCGAATAGGTAGGGAAAAGGCGGTCCAGCCGTAAAAATGCCTTAATGTATTAGGTCTGTGGATGTATTATCCAGTTTTGGGTGGGGCTTAATGGAATATGGGGAGTGGGATACGATCCAAAGATGAGAGTTACTAAGGGCTGTCAAAAAGTATGCTGTAGTTTAGGCATACTTAAATTAAAATATTTGACTCGAAACATGTTTTGATTGTCACAAATAATAAATTAATTTTAAGATAATCAATTATGATTACAATAAATGAACAATATTCTTAAGAACAACGGCTGCTTTTAAATAAAAATTAGAGGGTGTCGAAAATTATGCAATAATGTATGTGTGGATATGTTTATGTTCTTATTTAAATCGTTTTTAATCGTAATTTAACATAAATAAAAAAATGTAGCTTAAAAACTAGAAGAGAAAGTTTTTACTGGATTATTTAAGAATACATATAAAATAGTTAATGGCGTCTTTACGTAAGTTATGCCTTTTAATGCTATGGGTCTGGCTTAAGTTATGTTTAATATAATTCACAATGTGTCTTGGACATTGCTCCCTTATTTATGTCGTTTATGTCGGCTAAATGCATTGTAATTCCCTCGTCGCATTAGGTTTTTGTCTAATTATTGCTCATCTCTAGCGTCTCGGCCGATTGATGCCCCCTGACCTCCCCGAGCCTCATGCTAAACTAATTAGACGTGGCGTGTTTTTGGCTGTCTCCCCACAACCCCATTTCCTCCCAATATCCGCCCAATGTTAATGCGTTGAATGTGTGCGTCTGTTTAACTTATTGCTGTCTATTTAAATTGCAATTTGTCAATATGCGTGTGTGTAGCCATACCACACGCCCATCTGGAAGCCACCTATTTCATCCCCACACAGCGTCCTTGTTTTTACCCACAGTTTTCCATTTACACTGGAATAAATTTCGCATTTCAGTCTAACCTTCAGATATTAGTAAAATAATAATAATTTTTGAATCAGAATTTTAGGTTTCTTATATACAACTGGTAGATTTATTCATCATTACTTATTATTTTAATAGCAATGATAATAGTAAATCTTAATATAAATAAAATAGAAAACTTTAATTTTAAGAATAGAAATAATATTTGTGCAGGCATAACTTATTTAAAAATTTTTTAAAAAAATATTATTTAGGGAAGCCCATAAGTTTTTTCGGTGTAGGCAGTAGTACAATTAAAGTTCTTGTACAGTCATTAACAGCACATAACGTTGGGCCAGCCCGAGTCCAGACTGAACTTGCTAAACTTGGCAGACATCGTAGCTCCTGCCTAACCGCCCCTCTGAGCCCTCGTCTCCCCCAGAAACCCCCCTGCGTTCGCTTCCTTTGGGCCCCCTCGGTAGGTCCTTTTCCCCACTCCTTTGACTTTGACGTCGACGTCTTCGCTGGATTCTCTAGGTTGCTGCTGGTTCCTGGCTCATTTTTTGTACTGCTTTTTTTATTTACATCCGCTTGTTTGTTCAAAGCGGAAAATTAATTCCATCTTGGCTTGTTTCCGTTTATCTTGAAAAAGTATTTCGTCGTCTTTTCGCTTTATACCGTAGTCCACCACGCCCCTCAACGCCGTCCGACTTTGTTTTACTTTTATTTTTCGACAGCCTGCTGACCAGCTGAAAATGCTTTTCCTACTTTATATTTGAGTGTGGAGCTGGGGCCAGGGACTATTTACTTCATCTACTGGTCCAGAGCAGATTTTTTTTGGGTGCTATGTTGCTCCTGTTTGATATTGAGGGTATCTGCGGATGGCTATGCGACTGGAGAAGACATGTTTGTAAATATATTTCAATATTTTGTATCTAAGCCAGGCATTCAATTTTAGCAAAAACAAAAATATTTAAAATACAATTTATCTGTTTTTTCAACTATTATTCAATAAAAATGTAATAATAACAATAATAATAGTCTTTTAAAACTTGTAATTGTACCATAAATATATTTCAATATTTTGTATCTAAGCCAGGCATTCAATTTTAGCAAAAACAAAAATATTTAAAATACAATTTACCTGTTTTTTCAACTATTATTCAATAAAAATGTAATAATAACAATAATAATAGTCTTTTAAAACTTGTAATTGTACCATAAATAATAGGTTTTACTTATATAATTATTAAAAAGGATTATACTTTTTTTGAATAAAAAGTTAAGTTAAGATCCAAGATCTTTTACACTTACCTATAAAATTTATTTTAAAATCTTGTAGTTGTGCCAAAAATAATAGGACTTACTTATAACATTTAAAAAAAAATCACTATAACCTTTTTTTTAATAATTACCTATTGGTTGGTCTAAAACGCAAGATTTTATACACTTAACTAAAAATTTATTTTAATATTATTGCAAAAGTAATTTTGATAAAATTATTTATTTTCAAGTTTCGAAATTCGTGATTTTTGGTTTTAGAATTTAAAATATAATTCATTTTTTACTAATTTGTTCTTTTTTAAGGTATTTTTTTACAAACTAAACACCTATTTTATAAACATGCATTGAATTAGGTCTGCAGGACCTTGAACCGCGTACATTTATATATAATCTTCAATCTTTATAATAATTTTCCAGATAGAGAATACAAATTTCCACTCCTAATGCCAGTTCGTGGCTTTCCACTCTTGTTTTGTTTTGCTTTCACTGTTTGCCTTAGCGGGTGATGGGTGGTGGGTGGTGGGCGGTGTGGTTTGGGGGTTGGGTCCTTGGCCCCGCCCACTTCCTGTCGCCCCAGTCATCGTGGCGTGAAACTAGCGCGTCGCCCACCACACGTACATTAAATTAAAAATTAATTTACAAAAATAAACAGAGTTATGCCAGAGGAAGCATCTCCCGAACGATACCGACCATAAGAAGCTAATACTAATGCTGCTTCATTTGATTCAATTACCGGAAGCAGTCCGTCCGTCCGTCTGGCGGAGCGGAGCGGAACGGAATGTTACGGAACCGCCGGACTCCGCCGCTCCTCGGGAATTTTCGTGTTTGTCTTGGACACGCGGCAGGAAGTTGGCTGGCTATCGGGGTATCTGGGTAGCTGGGTAGCTGGGCATCCATCCTCTTTCAAGGACTTGTCGTAATTACCGCACAAGACAAATAGAGAATGGCGTAAAAACGAGAAATTAATCAACGCTTGGCGCCCGGCCCTTCGCCACTCGATATAGGTATATATATATATTCGTGTTCCATCCATCCATCCAGCCTGATTGCGATTCGATGTGAAGCGTTTGGCAAATATGACGGCGCGCATCATCACTAAACTACTGCCAAGGGACAAAATGTCGACAGAATGGAGATGAGAGCGTGACGTTCGCGGCAACGAACCCGGGCTTATTTTAATTACATTGATGGGAAAGTAATCCTGACTGGGAAAAAGTAGTGCAAAAACTATGCAGCCCTACTCATTTTTTACTTTACATGTATTAAAAAGCGAGCAAGATGGTAATATTAATAAAGTTTCAGATAGAATTATTCAAGTACATTATTTTTGAATTGAGAATATTCGTTCTTAAAAACCGGGTAAGTACATTTTGGTATCAATGTTCTCAATATTAAAACAAAATGGTGAGAAGAGAAAAGTTAAGTTGATTTTATTTATCAACTTTTTAATAAGTAATCACTAATGACTGGACTAATAGTTTATTTGTTGAGATATACAATGTAAATACCGCAAATTCAACTTGATTCAAGCAAAATAAAATTATTTTTAACTTCAAAAATGTCGTTCTGTTTTTAAGAACATTTTCAACTCAGATGATCCTTCAGAATTTTCTCAGTGTACATGTTTGAGAATATATATAATTTAAAAAATTGTATAGTATACTTTTACTCTTATTTATTATGATAATTGAATTTTTTAAAATACATTATTGTTACAATCATGATTCAAATGTGTTTGGTATCTGTATTATTTGGCGAGTGTTCCTTGACAAATTGTTCATAAAATAACCAGTTGTGATATGATCAAATATGATATTATGCTATATATAAGTTATAAAATATAATATTTCCGTGTTCATTTGTTCATTTTAAGGGTTTTTCTATAATTTTTTTTTACCTTTTTTTGTTTAACCAACTTTTGAAACAAGGCTTAATTTACACTTGAAAGGGTTAATTAGTATTAGACTTTCATTTGGAATGCTGTGATTTCCGGCGCCGAGGGCTCCTCTCCGTTTGCCCAGATTGATGATGGTCCAGCATGATGGCTCTCCCACGCGGAGCGGCATTATAATTTTAAACTACTTCTTTTGGGCAGCTACCCACTACCCCTTTTACACCCCTTTTCCTACGCCCCTGCCCTGCCCAGACCCATTTTTCGGCTGGGGGACATCCTGGTGCGGCACATTTGTTCGCCGGCATGTGAAAATTGATTGCTGTTGTTCATAGCTGCGGGATATGGCCAAAGTTTTTAAGTTCCCATTGCCTGTCCCCCGGTTCTGGAAAACCCCAGAACCAACGCCACGCCCACTTATTTCCCAGCCCCAGCTTTCCGCTTTCGGTTGTTGTTTGGGCGCTGAAAAGCTGAAAACAATGCGAATTTTCCTCGCGGGTCTACCGTCGCCTTGGACCGAGTTTTCTCCTCCTTCTGGGCCTTTTTTCCTGCTCGTTGTATTATTAAGAAAGTTTTATATTTTTTTGTCGGTTTGGGGTTGGAGTATATTTACATTTGGCAGTTGGCTGCGTTAAGCGGCTTGCGTTGCTAGGGAAATTCTGGGAAAGCAGGGGAGTCGGGGCGGGAAAGTATCTCGGACGAGTGATGGTCAGAAAATTGTGTTGGTGCTGGTGCTGAAATTTTTAATACTCGGTTACCTTGTCGTGCAGACAATTTGATGCCAATGGGAATATGAGTTTTCCCCCTACATCTCCCCTGTTATTTTTTTTTGTTTTTTGGCTGTAGTGCCATAAAAACCTATATATATTTATATGTATGGAACGGAGTGTGAGCCGGGTTCGTGTAGCTTTATAATTAAAGAAAGACGAGGCGAAAACAAAGGAATAATAGCCAAATAAGAGCTTGGCAACCGTTGGCAGGAGATTTCGCCCATAGAGAGCCTGTTGATATCGCTCACCTTTAAATCTTTCGGGGGTCAAGGACCCAAAATGAAAGACGAGTCAAAAACCTTATAGTTGGGAAATTGTTTTAAGATATTACAGGAACTTCAATTAATATTCTAAATTTATTTAGTTAAATTAAATTTAAAGAAAGGAATAATACAAAAAAGTGTATAATAGCAACTGCTATTTTGTTTGAAAAATACAAAATATTTCACAAAGTAAGCAAGATTACGTTTCGTTTTTAAATAATATTGACATGTCGGCAAAATTATGATACACTTTTTTTTTAAATTTATTGTGATGATATTGTCTGAACTATAAATAACTTTTATTTTGTCCTATCATTAAAAACTAAGGGAAATATTACTATGGTTTTATAAATTCATTCAATATCAAATATTTATGGACAACCAGTCTTATTTGATTTTATTACAATTTCTGGCTAAGCTTTTCCTTATAGGCCAGTTTGAGATACAATAAATTTATTGCATTTACTGCAATTTTCATCTAATGTTGGCATTCAAAAAGCAAATTACACTACACTAATTGCCAAAGAAGTGCCAACATTCAATTATAACGTTTAAGCGCCCGCATCTTTAGCTGAATATTAAAACTGGCAAATTGAAATTGCAATTACGCATTATCTACATCGGCCATTCGATAAATTAAAACCGATAGCCCCGACAAAAAGGCTAACCCATTAACCCACTCGGCGAGCAAGGTCAGCTAAGCAATTAAAAGCGAAAACGGGCTGTGCATAAATGTAACAAAAATAACGCACACATTGTGGTTTTTAATGGCCACCTCCCAGCCGCCCCCTTAGTTTGACCCCAGAAAAGGCATAACTTTTATGGCACGCACGCAGTTTTTATTCCCGTCGATCTGCTATCAAATGCCTCAACTGCCAGCCGAACACCTGCCGTCAAAGTCAACCATGCAAATATCCGTGTTTAAAAAAATAATAATAATAAAAAAGGTCGAGGTTTGTCCCGTGTTTGACTTCTGCCTTTATGTGCATGCAAACGCATAATCAAGCGTGAGGAGCAGACATCCCATTCCCATCCCTGGTAAAAATTCAGTCCCGGCACGCAGATATATGTCTGCTGTATCCTACGTTCGGGGAGTACGCATCCCATCCCCGAGGTACCGCATCCTTATCCTGCTTACATTTAATTTCACCTTCAGCCACCGATTCCGAACCGCCAAGACGTCGCGTCGCCTGCCAACCATCCAGCTATCCGAGCCAGCCAGCCTTTTCCTGCTCTTCCGCCGCTTTATAATGTTCCCTTCCTATCGGGTGGCACACACTTTAAATAGGGGTTTTATTCCTTTTTCCGGAAACTTGCAACAAAAAAGGGTCATATTACAAAGATTTTTTGTTTGTATCTAAAAAGGATCCGTACATTTCTTGGAATAATTTTAAGTCGAGCACATCTTAATTCGAAATAATACATGGAGGACTTACATTCATTATGATCTTAAAGTTATTTTAATAATTTAAGCAAACCAATCAAATGTTATATCATTTGTTTCCCTTTCTTAAAGACCTATAAATACCTACCTATATAATTTTGTTGTAATATTTAATAAAGCTTTTGCTTTTTCTAGTAGAAATCATTGCAATACTTAAGAAGCCTATAAAAAAAATTAAATATGTACTGTAAGTATAAAGGATCTTTATGGGCTAAAACAAATACATATACATTTGTTTTAAACATGCCAGCAATTATATTCACTTTTTCTTGGTTTATTCATTTATAAAAAAAAATACAAAAAATTTTAAAAGCTTTTTATTATATTTATATGTTTATTAAAATTGTTCTTTAACCCAAAAACACAATTTAAAGTCTTAGTAAATGAAAAAACCGTAAGAAAAATACATTTATCTCCTTTTTCTTGAAAAAATCGTAATGAGAATATAAATATACCTAGCAAGATTTATTGAGACAGTTCTTTTCTTAAAAGTAATTTCAACTATTTTTTCCCTACTTTACAATATATGGAAAACACATAAAGAAAAGTAAATTATAAATAAAATGCAGCATTTATTTAGGATTTATGAGGGCCACATGGCCAGCGAGGATATTTAAAATGTCGGCCATCGCAGATAGGACTTCGCTTATGTCCTTTTTTATTTGGGGGTCCTTGTTGTCGTCTGTGCATTTGACAGGAAAAATTAGTTGGCTACGAAACTTTTGGCCTCGCCGTCGCACATATACAAACGTGACTTGCCTGCGCTGCGTGTGAGTGTGTGTGTGTGCTCTATCACATCCTTCGTCCTTTTCGTCCTGGCAGTTGTAAAATTTCTGCTAACGAAAAACCATAAACAGGTGTTGTTTGTTGTTGACGCTGCATGTGGCCTGCCGCACAATCTGTTCTGTTCCGTTCGCATGTCTGTTTTCTACATAATCCGCTCGCCAAGGCTGATCCTGTTTGGTCCTGCCAAGGAGCCCCCCCCCCATCGACTGTGCTCCACAACTGTTTCGGGCACTGAAAGTTATTAAACTTAATGCAGTTTAATTGACCTTTTCGGGGGCCAAAGTTTTGCACCGTCTGCTGTTGGCGTTTCCGGCCAAAATGGGCAAATGGGCAAAGACGATGGAAATGGCAATGGCAAACGGCAATGGCAAACGGCGAAGGACAAACACTCGCCTTCGCATTATTACTTTTAATTACGGCTTAAACCTATTGACTGGAAATTTTAATATGTTATTTATTTACAATTAACGCCCCAGCAAATGCTTTCGTGTACAACTGGGCGTATGATTTATGGCATTCTCGGCCCCCACAGTAATTGTAACTATTGTTGAATGCAATTTCCTTTTGTTTCTGATTATACATGTATAAGTACACATGTATATATAAAACGGTGCGTGTAACAGTTGCCTCTCGTAAATTACAGGTTTAAGGATTTCGGAGCGAGGGGTTTGCGGCGGGTGTCACTTTTAAAACCCGAAATCTTTGGTCGAAGGGGTTTTGGGGTTGGATTGTAACCGAAATGAAAATGAAATTATTTATGATGCTCATTTGATGCGACAGCTTTTAACCAACACGGCCTGTCATGGCCTGAGTATGGGTTCATAGATGGGTCCAAGCGGAAGTCCACAAAGGGTGTAGTTTGTGTGTGAATAGAGGCCTTAAAGCTGATCAAATTGCAGATATCATTTCGGTATCAATGGGGTTTATTTCTGGCGAATTGTGGAGTACTTTATGTACTTTACGTAAAGCTTTTCAATAGTGAATAGAATGAGTATTTCATGTGTGCACTTACCAAAAACGTGGATATTATTCGGAAAGAATATTTTATCATTGTGATAACATTTTTGTTGACAAAACATTTATAAATTTGGATATACTCGTACATAGCCTATAACTGCAATCACTATTAGTGAAGAAGACTAGTAAACCTCTAACAGAAGTACTTTGTATCCCACAAACAAATCTGGTACTTAATGTTTTTATTATATTTATATACAACTTATAATTAACTTGAACATCCTTAAATATATTTAGTTTATTTAAAATGGGTTAGCCCAGTTTTTTTTAAAGTTTTTATACTTTATAGTTTTTTATCTGGCGTTTTAGGAAGCCCTCTATATTCCCACAATTTATTGCACTTCCCTAATGCCGCAATTGGGTTTATTGTTTGCCCTTTAACCCCTGCAGCATCTTGCAATGTTTTTACTTCAACGAAGCCTTGTATTTGTATCCATCCGGCCAAACCCACTCACACATTTTAATTTGCTAATTACTTAGCTGCCTTGTTGGTGGATGAGGATGAGGCAATGAATTCATGCACCGAACAGCAGCCCGGGCAAAGTAATCAGCATATAGAGATATAAATATTGCAAAATAAACATTGTCGTCGGCTCCTGAAACTTGGTACTCCGGCTTAGATGCACTCAAAAAATAATCCCCTTTTTGGAGGGCCAGATCAAAGACATCAGAAACATATTAGCCGGCACTGAAGTTGCGATGAGCGAGGAGCGGTTTAGAGTTAGTAGAAACACTAAAAAATATCGTAAACGAATTCATTGTTAGCATTTAGTTTATAACTACTTGTTAACATTATACAAATAAATAAATTTAAAAAATCGTAAACGTATATTATTATGACAATTTAAGTTTTTTTAAAACTATATTTTTTGTGAAAATTGAACATTTATGAATTAAATAGATTTCATATTATCCATATGTGTTAATCAACTGAAAGAAGAAATGTGGTCAAGAAACTGATCACTGATCAGTCAATTGCTTACTTTCATTTCTATATGCACAAAGTAGGTTTTGAGATCAAGGTATAAAGCTTAAGGTCTTAGTGTTAAGATATACATACATGTTCAAGGTACACAGCTTAAAGTTTTAGTGTTAAGAAGGCAATACTCCGGACAAGTAAAAATTTGGATGCAATACAATAACTTATAAATATATTTTTCTGACGATGGCGACTGATAGTACTACTGAGGTTGCTGCCTTTAAACTGATTCTTCTTGGTGATGGGGGAACAGGGAAGACTACCCTTATGAAGCGGCACATAACCGGAGAATTCCAGAAGAGTTACCTCCCGACCATGGGCGTGGAGGTGCGTCCTCTATTATTTCACACCACACGAGGACTGTATCGCTTTAACGTCTGGGATATCGCTGGCCAGGATAAATTCGGAAGCCTACGCGATGGATATTACATCGGAGGTCAATGTGCCATTATAATGTTCGATCTGACCTCGAGGATTACCTACAAAAATGTGGGTAACTGGCACCGCGACTTGACTAGAGGCTGCGGCAATATTCCGATTGTGATGTGCGGCAACAAGGTTGACATCCAACTTCGCAAGCTTAAGGTCAATCAAATTAGCTTCCACCGAAAGAAGAATCTTCATTACGTCGAGATATCGGCAAAGTCGAACTACAACTTTGAGAGACCCTTTGTCCGTCTGTTACGTAAGCTGGTTGGTGATCCCCAGTTGAAATTGGTGAAGTTCCCCGCCCTGCAACCTCCAGAATCGATCTTTACCGACGAAATGAGGAGAAGAGTGGACCTTGACAGGATGGAGGCGGATGCCTCTCCGTTTCCTGAGGTCGATGAAGACTTATAAATTTAAGGTTTTGCTTCAACATTTTAGTTATTTCGGCTACTTTTCGGTAACGATTTTCTACTTGCCTGTACTTTTATGTGCATTCTTGAGGTAAAGTCATTGATGAAGAAATTTGGATGAATGGTAGTCCGATCTGCAGCAAATGTTTACTTTTTTAAGGGTTCCTTAAGGTAACCCAAATAAGAAAAAAACAACATCTTGGTCCTATCCTAAGTTGATACATTGTAAATTGTAAATTTATAAATATTATAAATTGTAAAAATATATTTTGGAAATATTCGTTTTCCCACCTCAAACGTGATACGATATTTGGGGTCAAATCTTTGAAAAATTCAATACTACTTTTTTCGATTATTTATTATGTTATTATTTCAATTGGACTCTTTAGCCTGCAATTAAAAGAAGACTTTTGTGAAATTATACTTCCCAAAGTTGTCCATCTGAAAGACTGTTTGCGTAGAGACGGACAGACGGACTTAGCTAGACCCACTCGGTTGATGTTGTAGATCGAGAATACGAGATCGGATATGAAAAAGTATATGCATAAAAACACTCATTAAACAAACTAAACTTAAAATACTTTAAAATAAAAAATCTAATTCACCACTATTTATTTAAAAGGTTGGGATTTGAAAAATTACAAAACCTTTATTAGAATAAACTACATTCTCAACCGAATATTGTTCTGCAATCGAATTCTAGATAAATCAGTAATTTAACACATTGATGAACCATTTAAAATTAATCTTAACTACACATTTCTATATATTCGATAAAATTAGATTATGTAGATTATTAAATATTGTAAGTATTATGTTGGCAACCCTTTTTAAAGACTATCGATGATGATAGTTAAATTATATCGGTTTTGACAGTTGAAGGTAGTCGATTCGTTTTCATCAATTGACAAACAACCTTTTCGGCACAAATTTTTTCCAAGCCTTAAGGTTGCCTTTTTTTGATTACCGATACGTAATTATTAACCTAAAGATCCTGCCGCCATTCGTGAAAACTTTAGTACTTGTGGATTGTCATGTCCTCGAGAGCGAGCTCTATATGGTGCAAATCGTCGGGGGAATTACCTTGCAGAACATCAGATGTCGCGGCACCGCTTAAGACCGATATGGGCACGAGTCCAAGGCCCATAGCTCCATGGGCGAGTTCCCCAGAAGAGTCCTCCTAGTCAAGTCCCTCCAAAAGGAAGTCATCGCAGTCAACAACGCTGCAGGGAGTGCATCCCCCAATCTATCAGCTGTCTTGCTGGGCGAAGTGAATATGACGGGGAGGATCTGTCGCTCTACCAGGAACCCAGCTGCCAGTGTTCCCTGATGATATTGAAAGCCCCTCTGACAAAGGGAGCAAGAACCCCAGCTGCCAGGTTACGATGACGATAGTGGTAGCTCTTCCGGTAATGAGACTCGTGAGGACTCCCGTACGTAATGACATCTGATGTCATCGGGTGACATCTGGTGTTAGTACGTACTGGAGCCCTCTCGATCACTGATTTCTTGGGAACGAGTCTCCTATTGGTAGAGCTATCGCTATCGTCATTGTAACCTGGCAGCTGGGGTTCTGGCCGAGCGACAGATCCACTTCGTTCAGTCCACCATCCAGATGAAGGAGCTCAAGATTGGGATTCTCAAGTCGGAACGATATGAATCACTGCTGTCTCACCGCTTAGAGTGGTGAATTCGAGCCGAATCATGGGATTCGTCGGTGAAAAAGGTAAGATAAATTGCCCTGTTGCCTTGAGTTCATAGAATCATCTGGATGCTTCGTTCCTGCCCTTTAGAACAAACATATAAAACATTTGAATTGAGCTAATCTCTAATAAACGTATTGTCTTGCTTATCAAAAAAAACCATTTAGTTAAGCCTACACAATTTAAACCTGAGCGATGCCAAATAATTTGTATTATTTTTGAAAATGATCAATAATTGCTTTTTCAGGCTCTTCATTCAAGTCCCAGCAAGATTCTTCAGCGAATTCCTGGAACCTGGCCAATTTGGGTGCCCAAAAAAAAACGCTCCGTCAGCCGGGTGCCCTATTAAGCCCGTCTCGCTCGCTCCGCTTCCATCTCCCTCGCACCACCCATACCACTGCACATAAGCGCTTAATGAGTATAAATGAGCTTGATTGCATATTCCAAGGCGCTGGCGTACTTTCCCCCTGCGTCTGTGTGTGCGAGCTGTTTTTTAATAGCCTGCATATGGCGTTGTAAAAGTTTTCATTACACAAACAGCAGCAGTGGCAGCAACTACAATTTACCGGCAACAAGAGCAGCAGCAGCAACAGCAACAGCAACGGCAACAACAACTTATTGGCCTGACTTTTAAGCGCATTTAACACACGGCGTATGCGTAATGTGCCTGCAGAGCGAGAAAGCGAGAGGCTGGCAGTCAAATTGAATACAGTTGCTCGTAAAATGCTTAAGCACCTGCACACAGCAACAGCAACAACAATTACAGCAACAGCAACTGAAAGGGGGACAGCACAAGGACTTCGGCAAGGACCTTACAGTGAAAAAAACATTTTAAAAACATTAATAAAAAATAAATTGTATAACCACTTTACTTAAAATGAAAACCAAAGGGAAATATTTTTGTAGTCCTTTATTTTGTAATATTCTTATAACGAGCGGTTGTTATAGAGTGTATATAGTGCGTTAATTAATGTCAACTTTATGTTTAAAGTAGGATATTAACATTGAAATATTAATAATATCAAGTTTTTATTCCGAGCAAGAGCTTAAGATAAATAAATATTTTAAGCCGAAGTAAACAACATTTTTGTTTGAAATCCACTATAGCAAATAGAATAGAGAAATACGAAACAGAACTTCAAAAATTTTTGTAAGTGTACACTTAACGCTAATTTGGCGTTTTACCGTCGAATGATTTTTGAGCATACGAAAGTTACATGCCCACACACATACACACACACGGTCGGGAAAATTTCTGCTAAAAGTTAAAAAGTTTTTTTTTTGGACCATGGATAGCGGATGCTGTTTCTGTGGAATTCTCTGGGCAAAATTTCATCTGCGGTTGATTTTGATTGTGAAAGGATTTGCCAAATTGCTGTTTGCAACGGTGCGGCAAAAAATCAAAGGGATTTTCAATACCAATACATTCATGCGGCAGTAGATCGCTACCCTATGTGTCTGTGAGTGTGTGTGTGGTTCAGTTTGCGGTTCGCACAATGGAACCACCCACCGCCCAGCACCCACCCACCCACTCACCACCCGCCGCATTTCTTTCACCCACACCCACTGCCAATGCGTTTAAACAACAGTTTAACAGCAGTTTGCCTGCCTTTTGTTATTGGTGAGGCTTTTGCCATTTCTCCTCCGCCGCCCTCTTCTTCTTTAGCTGCATTTCCCGCCCTTGGTGGGTGGAAAATGGAGGAGGGTTGGCGGAGAAAGTGGGGAAAGTGGGTGGTTATAGCTGCTGCTCGATTTATGGAAATTGTGTAATATTTTTTTGGGCGGAATACGTTTTTTTCGGGGCCATTGTAGGAAAGCCCTGCCTAAAGAAAGCGCTATAAAATGCGTTTCGTTCTTGTTTTCTGTGTTTCCAAAAAAAAAAGTCTTAGGCCTCGACAATTTTAGATGTCCCTTTTTTAATAGTGTTCTCAAAAAAACTTTGCGATTGTCTTTTTGGTAATTATATTTGTTTGAAATATAAGCAAAAAAAAACATTTGTATAGCTTTTGGACAATAGTGACTTTAGTGGAAAATTTAATATTTGCCTAAGGTATCGACAAATCGTGAAAATTGTAAAGCATTCATATTATTACTGAAAAGTTTTTCTTTCCGATTGAATTTTGATTGATTTTGCATTTATATGTTAGATAAGACTATATTAAGAAGAATACATAAAAAATTCCATTTAATATTTGCCTTGTATTTATTTTTATACTGTGGTGAATTTTATAAACTATGTCTCAATGTTTCTGATCCCAAATTTTCTTAATGGAACTTCATATGCTTAAGATTATAATATTAGTTATCATACAATATTAAAAGTGATACATGAATAAATGAATTAATATTATTGGTTTTGCATATTATTAAAACAAACATTTTTCTAATGCAGGTCGATTTGGAATGTCCCATAGAATGTGAATGTTGGCCATCCTTACTCAGTAAATATTCAGCCAGATTTCCCATTTAACCCTCTTCCATGCCCTTACCAATTGTCCCTCGTTTTAATATTAAAAACCTTTGACTTTGTACCAACAAAATTTGCTTTCGGTCCTTTTTTCGCATCCACGCCGCTGGCTATGCAAAAATAATGGAGGGGCAAAAAGATGCGGACTCGGAAATCGCTCGGAAAAAGGAATGCAGCCAATAACTTGGCGCTTAATTTTTGCACAATTTTGGCCGCCAAAGGCCAAATAAATAACTTGCTACAGCCAAAAACGGGCAAGAATATTTTAGCTTTTTCTCTGCCCATTCCATGGCGTAATTATGCGAAATGCGGACCCATTAAAAATTAATAACTAAACTGCCTTTGGCAGTATTTGCCATACGGCCGCCTCCGCACTTAGCCAAGTGGGCGTGGCTGTTGCGAAACTAAAAGCATATTTAATAAACTGCAGAAACAATGAGCGGCATTTGAAACAGACTGGAGGGGATAAAAAGTGGAGGGGGGATAGGAATAAGATGGCGATGGCAAGCTTATTAAGTATACGCCATGCTGGCCGAATAATGGCAGAAACAGCGCCGAGAATGTGCATTAAAATAATGAGAAATTAAAACAGGGATTATAAAACACAAAAAAAATAAACAAAAATGTGCGAACGAAATTAATGAAAAATGCATTTCAAAAATTCTTTGACACGAAATTAAATCATTTAAAGACGGAATACTAGCTGAATGTTATTTAGTTACGTAAATGAGTTAATAAATTTCTAAAATTGGCCAACAAGTATGTTCATAAAAATAATAATTCATTTTAAGCTTAATAGAATACTTATCTATTTCGACTTGATATTAATAAATCATGAAATGATTTTATGATTTGCATTCATATGTGATGGTGACTTTTTAAAATGCTAATAAACTCTTTGGTTTAAACTGGAGAAGTTCAGGATCAAGGTATCAAATATTTTTTAGTTTAGTTTCTGTGCACATTATAATGATAGAATAATATGAGTGCCTTAAGCTTAAATATTTTTATATTCTCCTTTAAAGACTTATTTATATTGTGAATATTATTCGTAACTTTATTCCCTAGCCCACAAAATGATAGCTCACATCTTATGGACAATCGCTTAAATAAATTATCAGTTATTTTTCTCCCCCTTTTTGATTAATCTCTAATGTATTGTAAATTCGGTAATCTGTAAATCTAGGAAATAGTTTTTTATGAGTACGACTCCACCAGCTTTTCTTCAATTTGCAACATGAATATTAAACTTTTAACTGATTGCATATCGAATGGCACATTTATTATTCATAAGCTAGTTTGAAACTAAAGCACTTACCATAAATTTGTAAGAAATTTTAGCCGGGAGGCAGGAAAAGTCAAAAGGCGTTATTAATAAATACAGAAAGAGTTGTGGACGGGGGCAAAAGCGAGATAGATAGTGTGGCAGCTGGTTTTCAATTAACTTTTTTAAGCCACTTCACAGTCCCCCAGCGACTTGGCCCATTTGGGCCAACTAACGCCATTAGCTGGCCCATTGAGCTCTTTGTTGGCTTTCAATAAATATTTCCA